TTCCTAGTCACTGCTTCCTAAACAGGGTGTCTAAAGGGGAGGTGCCCAGAGCTGCCCTTTCCATAGCCCTCGATTGGAGATGCAAAGTGGGGGGAGTACATCCGCAAGTGGTGTGGCACCATCCTCTGATCCGCCTGTAACCCCTGTTGTGCCTGGAAGCCTCCATGCCCATGGAGGTGGGGAGCCATTTGCTGCCCAACCTTCATTCCTGCAGGAGGGTGGCAGTGCTGGCCCTGTGGCTGGGGGGTCAGTCTGCCCATGGAGCCCAGCATCCCTCTGGAGGACCAGGCAGTGGTAAAGAAATTCATTAGCAAAGATCATCTGCTGTTGGAACTTTGCACATCACTAATTTTAGTGCTGGTTAGGAAGAAATACGGTGACTATGGACTAGACAGAAAAAATGATAATATCAAGAACAGCAAATGACCCTTTTATCCGGATTGTTTTTAATTTCCAAAAGTATGAAGAAAAGTTAACGAAATGCCTGGAAAATTAATATATTTCCTTATATATTCTATATGACTACCCCTCTAGATCAGTGGTTCCTAAATGAAGGTCATGAGAATGTTCCTAAGTGCTGTAGGATGTTTCAGGAAAAATTAACAGCAACATATAGATACAATACATTTACATCACAGTTTTGAATATTATTTATCTTGTGAATGTAGAACAACAAAATACCACAATATCAATAAAATGTGTAAATCTATGAAGAAATACTGAAAATATGTTTTAGCTTTCAGGATCCCTCAGCCAGAACAACTTAGTTATCAGACTTACAACTTAAAAGGTTGGGAAACATAGATCTACCCACATTCAGTATTAATGCATTCTACAGCAAATTTAAGATAAAGCAAGATGGATATTGATTATGCAAAAAAGCTAATCATCAGAAGGGCGATGGCCCCTGACACAAATTATGAACCTGGAAGCAATATGTATAATAATCACATATTTCTATTGACAAGTAATATGCTGTAAAAAAAAATGCAGAGAAATATTTTTTACACCAGTATATTTTAACTATATTCATGAAACAAAGTTAAATCATTTATTTTTTACCCATGGAATGAGAAAGAAAATTACTCTTATAAATAATGATTCCATATAAGCATGCGTGTCCAATCAAAATGGTCTAAACTAAACATCTCTGCATTCTGCCCTAAACTTCAGTTAAGAAGATCAGGATTTTTACGCTTTTTCTTCTCTTTGAGAGACTTGTAGGTACTAATTTTCTGAAGGATTGGACACTAAGAACCCTCAGAAAAAAATGAAAATGAGTTCTAAAAAACAGCACTTTCTGTTATCCTTGCATTTCCCAAATTCTAGTCACAGTTTTTTTCAATAAGTTTGAGAAATAAGGCATATAAATAGTTCAAAAGTATGGCTAGCATATATCACTCACTAGTGTCCATATAATTGCATCATTAAGTTTTTAAAGGAAACAAGTCATAAAATTTGCCTTTTTTATCACATTCACATTTTGGCCATTTAGCCTAAATTAATAAAGGTATCCATGAACACCCATAATAAATAGTAGTCCAACTGTATTCTGATAATTCTATGCAATAAAACAGATTTCTCGGTCAAACACTGTAATCAGAATTTAACAAATGACAGAAAAAAACTTTTCAAGTAATTTTGTTATTGCTAATTTCTGTGCAAAGCAACATTTTGTTTCATTTTCAAAATGTATTCACATCTGCCTGTATTTAAGCTAAAATTTTCTATATAATAGAGCTATTCCTTTGTCATTTGTGAAACCATGTTTTCCCAATTTTCAGCACTAATAAATTAACTAATTATACGTGAGTTTGTATTTGCAAATGATCTAATTTAAGTAGGTTCAGGTTAGAGATGTATAAAATATCTGCATTCACACCCTCATCTGCAAATTCTCCTAGTAAGAAGGGACCTGCATAGCATCTTGGATTTGCTTGGTGAAAAGTGTATACTACGTGTATAATAATATATCTATCCAAGTCTTGCGCTACATGATAAAGCATTCAAGGCTCAGATACAATACCTAAAGAGTAAACAGAGAGAACTGGTGCAAAATCAATGCATCATATGAAACAAAAGGCAGGTATCTGGAGCTCATCCCAAGATATTTCAATAATGTGGATTTTGAGGGGATAAGACATCCAGCATTGCTCACATTGAATTCTTCAGCTCATTGAGGTTAACTGATGCATAGAAGGGGCTTATAATGAAAAAAGATAAACAAAGCTAAAATAAAATTACAATTTTTGACACTTTTTCTCCTCCAGGGGTACCATGCCATGACAGATTCTACCTGTAATTAAATCCTACAGACCTTTTACCCTGATAACTCAAACTAAATCAACAAACCTGGATGAGGGGGGAGTTACGCACTGCTGGACTGGACTCGGATACTTCATATATTTCATCCCTGTGGCAAAAGAATCAATACACATTAACATCATTCCATTCCAAGAATTCACACAAAATTTTCTATATCACAGAGTGAAAGTTCACT